CTGGTTCGTTCTCTTCTCCTTTATCATGTATAAAATATGCATAATCTATGTATAATATGTGTATAACCATATATTATCTATGTATACAGGCTAGAAAAATCCGACTATTTGTGTATACATCTCCTAATAAAATTATTTTACATTTTAGAGGTTTTAAATTATGATACCTAAACCCCATAAAAAGAAGAAAGAAAAAAATTAAAATGATCAAAACATATGCATGTGACTCTCGGCTAGTAGAATATGTTTAATCGACCCTATATATCCTCTAATTTAGAAATTAAAAATAATCGGGCTTATTACATATTTGAACGGTTGGATTGACAATGATCTTGATTTGTTTATCAGTTTTCGACTTTAATTTATCATGTATAAAAAGATTATGTGAAGCCAAAATTTGAAGTTTATATATGGATTCAAAATTCTATATATTTTTAAGTTACTGTATTCTATATTAATAATATTTGCATATTAAATATCTTAGGACAAATATAGAGTCTAAACTAAAGTTTATGGGTTCGGCTTAACCCGCCTTCAATTTCTAGCTCCGGCCATGTGTATAGGTACTTGTATTCATCGGGTAAGAGAACATGATCTACTTGTTTAAAATGTTCTAATTATTTTACTGTATATGTCAGCTTGTTTGTTATGGTGAATTGTGCAGTAATCTATTATAATCTCTTTTTATTATTACTGTAATTTATTTTATTTTTTTAATAAATATTGATAGCTATCTCTCTTTCCTCTTGCATTATATTGTATTCACCTAATTAGTAGGCTATAAGTTGTTATCTACTTTGACTTTGAGATACAAATATTACAGGACCTATTTGGTGCGGGGACTGATACAACCACAAGCACATTAGAATGGGCGATGGCAGAAATAATTAGACAACCAGAAATAATGGAAAAAGCACAAGCTGAGCTTGCAAAAGTCATTGGAAAAGGAAAAATAGTAGAAGAAGCTGATGTTTCTCGACTCCCATACTTGCAATGCATTATCAAAGAAACCTTAAGAATGCACCCACCCGTTCCGTTCTTAGTCCCGCGTAAAGTGGAGCAGGATGTTGAAATGTGTGACTATATCATCCCGAAAGGGTCACAGGTACTAGTCAACGTGTGGGCAATTGGTCGAGATTCTACGTCTTGGGAGGATCCTTTAGTGTTTAAACCTGAGAGGTTTTGGAGTTCGGATGTGGATATGCGAGGGCAAGATTTTGAATTGATTCCGTTTGGTGCTGGTCGAAGAATATGCCCTGGCTTACCACTGGCATTAAGAATGGTTCCGGTAATGTTGGGCTCGCTATTGAATTCCTTCACTTGGAAGCTCGAACCAGGAATTGCACAAAAAGACTTAGATATGGAGGAGAAGTTTGGTATCACCTTAGCGATAGCCCATCCTTTGCGGGTTATCCCATCCCCGATTTAGAGTATCGTATTGTCTTATTACTTTAGGTACAATATTTCTTGTGATTATTACAGTAAAATAAGAAGGTTATGATGATTAGAAGAGGAGATTGTTGTGCAACATCATTTTCCTCATAAATGTAGCAATGTTCAAATGTCAAAGACCTATGTTCATACCAATAAGGGTTGTGGTGGAGTGGTATGTACACCTTCATTCTTAACCAGAGGTCTCGGGTTCGAGACCTGGGTGTGGAATCGCCTTTGTTAGGGAACGTTTTACCCCCTAATGTGGGACTTTCCGATGCGAATCTGAATTTAGTCGGGCTCCAATATGTGTACTAGATACTGGGTGGGAAACAAAAAAAAAAGACTTATGTACATTACATTCTTATATATGTTGTTTTGTTTGAGATCTTGCCTAGTTCTCTTTCTCCCATTTTTCCTTCACATAATAATGAAACACAAGAAGCTTTAGAAACTATACCAATTGAGTATTTTGTAGAACATCTATGACCATACGTTATATATTTAAAATTATAAATAAAAAAAGGAACAAGAAAGTCTTTGGTAGAATAGCCATAAGCGAATTCAGAATTTAAATTTTATAAGTTCCTACCATAATCTCAAGTTAATATATAATAATGTATGAATTCACAATCAAATATTCATAGATATTTAGTAAATTTCTTAACATAAACAGGGTTTTGCAAAAAAAAATATTGAATTCGTGTGAACTCTAAATTCCAATATAGATTCGCCTCTAATAATATCTATATGCCCTTATAGTATCCAATTTTTGGTGATCTCATTATTATCATATTTATATTATATTCCTAACTTGCGTGTGAATTAATAATTCACCTATTTTTATTATTGGACAATTTTACCTAACCTCTTGAAGGTAGGCGTTATTTGCAATTAGCAATTAACCATTATGACAAAAAAGTCAATAATATAATATAAACACAATGAAAATATTATAGACATCCGTGCTACACATGCGAATTAAATTAACACCAAAAAGCTCTACCTGAAAATAAAATATGACAATAAAAAGTCAATGATACAACTTAAAATATCAAAATGACAAATATGTTTATGTTTAATCGTTTTTGCTATCGTTAGTAAGACACTCGATTTTGATATTTTTGTAAAAAAATTTCTATCATTGGTGTGACGAATTAAAGATTCGCCAATCGACTTTGATATTCTTAATTGTATTTTATCGCTCTCAATCATACAATACTGACATAACATAGATATAATAATATGCAAATATAAACAGATACAGATATTACATGTGTTTGAATTATCATGCACTTAAAAAGTCTAAAATGTAATATGGAATATTTTAAAATTTGGAGTAAAGAATGTTGTTCAAGAAACTACATCGGTATTAATGGGGAAACTATGGAAACCATCGGTTCATAAATAGTTTCAACCAAAACTAGCTCAAAACTAAATATCTATCAAAAATAGTCCAAACAAAATATCTATAAAAATAGCCCAAATTGCAATTATCACTTTTTGCCCGCGCCGGAAACTATTTAACATTTGATAGCTGAAAAGTATATAATATTTATATAATTTTTGTATATAATATATAGAATATATATATATATATATATATACACTTTTTTGATTATTATTTTGAGAACAGCTGTACACTGTCATTTTTTATTTGTAATACAGGTCTATTTTGCTCAAACATAAAGTCATTTGAAAGTTGTGTTTAGGTATACACAAAGTCAACATCCTTTATTGCAAATAAATATAGAAAATGAGATTCAATGTCATAAATGTCACTGTTGATTATGATTACAAATCTATACAGAAAGTGTTAAATCTGCAAGAGATCATATTGTGGCAAGATTATGGCCCCAAAAATTTGAGGCAGTTCAGAGTCCCTTTGCCGAGAAGTTTTATTGTATGCCTCACACAACTAACATTAGTTATGGGAAGCTTATTTTTATCTCATAAATTTATGGACCTCAATCTTACACTTCTGGATTCACAAATATCTGGGTCCACAAAACTATGAGACAAAAAAGATGCCTCATACAACTAGTGTCGTCAGTTGTATGAGACACAAAATAAAATTATCCCCTTAGGCTGTCAATCTTTATTTATTCGGAAAAGGCCTAAAATGCCACTCAACTTTCAGAAATAGTCTGTCCATGCCATCCGTTAAAAAAATGCTCATTTCATGTCACTGCCGTTAAAAAAATGGCACATCCATGCCATTATTGACTAACAGCAGTGGCATGGATGGGCCAAATAAAAATTGAGCCGTTAGTCAATAATGGCATGGATGAGCCATTTCTTTAATGGCAGTGGCATGGAAATAACAATTTTTAAAGGATGGCATGGATAAACCATTTCTGAAAGTTGAGTGGCATTTTTAGGCTTTTTCCGTATTTTATTTGACTTGGTCATAGGCTCGTTCGTTCATTAAGTCATGGGCTGAATTAGAGGTAACAAACGGAGATGTCGGGTCGGATATAAACCTGTTAAAAAATGGTAATACAAAAATGGATAAATTATCCTATCTGACTTATATTCAATGTAGGTAAAAAATGGGTTAACCAGCGGATAATATGGATATCCATATTATTTGACTTCTTCAATATGATCACTTTTAGGAGAATTAAACTTGAGGAACCCCCAAGTTGAGGCTTTATAAATATAGAAGTTAAACCCATTAATTATTCATTGGTTATCTATTTTCTAAGTGGATAATATGATTCTTATCCATATTTAACCCATTTTTAAAAAATTCATTATCCAATCTATTTTTAATAAATAATATTAGTGAATAATTATTTTCTTTTAATCATTTTGTCAATCAATAAGTTGAATACACAGATATGATGTGGATCATGGCTCTGACCGACATGGATTGAGAATAATTTGACCAACTATACAACATATTTCGAACTCTACTTCATATTGTATTTCATTCACTTGAACAAACATATAGATTCTAATTTAAAGGGGGAAAAGGATTGCTTTTAAACTGGTTATACCGTACTATTTTTACAACATCGACTTTAGTGATCTAAACGGGATATTATTATTTTTAACCCATATCAGAAATTATTTATATTTGATAGTTAAAAAAATATATAAAATTTATATAATTTTTATATATCATACAGAATATATATATTATTTTTTTATATATATTTTTGAGAAATTCGTTGGATTTTCTCAAAGGAACAAATTTGAAGTAGCTTTTGTCACACTTGTAGTTAGGGCTGTGCACGGATCGGATCGGATCGGATTTAGCATATTTCGGATTGAAATTTCGAATTTCGGATTCCACAAATTGCAATCCGATTCCGATCCGAATTATATCGGATTGGATCAGATTTTTAAAATTCGGATCGGTTTGGTGATCGGATTTTCGGATCGGATTGTACCTATTATTAAGGACCTTTTCTTTTATTCTTTTTTGGACATATATGAAGGATTGCGTATAGGTGTTCGTAACACGCAGCGGAAGACAATAACAATCCTAGGCAGATCTTTTCATGTTTAAAATTTATTTACATATCAATAGATCGGATCTAAGACGTACCTGGTGAAGAAAGTCTTGTTTCAAATTCTTCGATAGTGCGAAGACTCTATGTGTATCCACGCCGAGACTGATCCTTGCTATCAACTCTTTGATCAACGAAACCCGCGAACAAATTGAACGGAAAACTTGTGCTGAAATTTTTCTCAAAAATCTCAACTCAAAGATAGAAGAACAAGAAACACTTTTCTTGTAATTGTATTTTCTCTCTTGGCTTTGTATTGCACTCTCACTTTCACAAATTGTTTTTCTTCTCAAGAATAATAATATGCCGGCAAATTTTCTCCATCACTCTTTATATAGCATCACCTATAAACCCTTATCCTATTTGGGTGAGGTAATGATTTACTTAGGGTAAACTTATTCCAAAAATAAAGTTTGTATAATTTTCCCCAAAATTCGAATCCCATTCAAATGGATTTTGCCGAACAGTCACGTGATTGTTCCATCTCAAAATTGGAATCAGTTGTTTTCATATTTACAAAATATTAATCTCATTCCAAATGGGATTAATTGCACGTGAAATAATCCAATTCCAAATTGGAATTACTTACCAAG